AGCACCCGGAGAACCTCCAGGCGGAGCACCTCCAAGCTCAGCACCCCCAGTCTCTGCACCCCCAGGTGTAGCACCCCCAGGCACAGCACCCCCAGGCTCAGCACCCCCAGGCTCAGCACCCCTAGGCTCAGCACCCCCAGTCTCAGCACCCCCATGCTCAGCATCCCCAGGCTCAGCACCCCCAGGCTCAGCACCCCCGGTCTCAGCACCCCCAATCTCAGCACCCTCAGCAGCACCAGAGTCACCAGTAACCTCGACAGGCTGGACTGAGTCTACCTGGGACACACCTGAAGGGGCAGGACCCTGAGGGGGGAGGGGGTCTACTGGGGGGAACTTGGTACAAGGAAGAGCGGGGGGGGGGGGGAGGGACGGAGTGCGGTAGGGGAAGAGGCGGTAGTAGGGGACCGACTCGTCAAACGTGACGTCCTGGGAGGACAGAACACGTCGAGAGGTGGGGTGGTAGAACTGCCACCCAGGCGCGTCAGGGGGGACCCCAGGAAGATGCAAGGAGCAGCACGAGGGGACAGCTTGTCCGCAGACAAGTCGCGGACAAACGCCCGACCGCCGACGCATCGCCAACCCTCCCCGTCCACAGCAAGGCTGGGGAGGAATCCAGTCTGGAGACCTTGGGGTGGAGGTTGATCTGATGCGCCGCGTACCTCACCGCAAACGGCCATAGAAAATGGGGGGCAGCCGCATGCATCATGGACGTACGAGCGACGTCCATGACCATGCCAATGCGGCGCTCAGCGATCCCATTTTGCTGCGGAGAGTCCGGAAGCGTTAAGGTCTGACGGATGCCTCGTGCGCGACAGTAGGCTCTCAGAAGGCCAGATGAAAACTCTCCGCCTCTGTCCGAGTGGAGACGCAGAATAGGAAAGTCCGAGCCAAAGCTCTGCCTTTGCTGGAGACGAGCTGCGCGGATCCAGTCGATCAGTACCTCAGTGACATCACACTTGCTGCGCAAGGGGAAGACTGCGGTGTAACGCGAGTAGTCGTCAACAACAAGCAGGAAGTAGCGCTCGTGACCCTGTCCACGGACGCGGGCTGAGCCCCACACGTCCATGTGAAGCGTCTACAGCGGGGCCTCTATCAGAGGAAGCTGGGAGGAGTGAGGGGCAGCCCACTGGCGCCCCTCGACACAGGGGACACAGGAAGGGCCAGGTCCCTGAGAAAGGGGAGGGAGGGACCTGGGGAGTCCAGAAACAAGAAGACGGGAGGCCATGCCTCTGAGACGAAGCAGAGAGGGGTGACCAAGGCGGTGGTGCCAGAGGAGAGTCTCGTGAGACAGGCGACGACACGAACAGGGGGCAGACTCAGGACCAGACCTGGACGCTGCAGCAAACACCTGACCCGACGCAGCTACCCTACCAGACTCAGCAGCTGGAGGAGACGCGGTAATCAGTGTGTACAGGCTCGACCCCGGCTGACGTGTAAACGTAGCCAAGTGTCGGCTTGTGCGAGCCTCCGTGTAGTGCGTCATACGCTGACGCGTAGGAGTGAACTGGTGCACTCCCCCATCCTGTAGGTCAGCACCACTCACCAAGTTCGTAGAGAACGAGGGGAGGTAGTGACCAGACAGGGTGCCAGAGGGAGCCGCTGGACACGGGAGGACTGTGGAGAAGTGAGACAGGATAAGACCCCCAGAGGGGTCAGCCAGAGACACCGCAACGGGCCGACTAAGTGGCGTGATTGTGGTGCGGTCCCGAAAGAAGGAGCGAGAAGCCCCAGAGTCAAGGGTGAAGATGAGGGAGGCCGAAGTCGACTCAGTACCTGAGAGCGCAGACTCACCAGTACCTGAGGACGCTGACGCACTAGCACCTAGAGCACCAGCGTCGCAAGCACCTAGAGCAGCAGCCACACCAGTACCTAGAGCAGCACTCTAAATGCCCGGATCGGGCGGGAAACACCGGTAACAGTCACCCTCATCACTTATAGTAACAGCATACATGGCAAAAAGAATAGCATCAAAATCAAGATCATCGATGGCAACTCCCGCCCTAGACAGCTCTCCCCGGCGAGGGATCTCAGTAGCCTCAGGGAACTGGTGACGCCACGCGTCCGTCAGACGGCCAAAGCAGCGCTGGGTGGGGTGCGCACCCCCACACTGCTCACCCGCACAGTCGCCGGTGCGCAGGACGTAGGTGCACGGACCAAAACCCCCACCCCGCTGGCGTGCAGTGTACCACTCACGGAGCTGCAGAGGGGACAGGGTCTCACGACCGCGCTGCTGCTGCTGGCGAGGACCACCACCGGAGCCACTCCTCTGCGTAGACCCGCGACCAGCTCCACCGCCACCTCCGCCGCCTCCACCGCCTCCGCCACCACCGCCGCCTCCACCACCACCGCCGCCTCCGCTACCACTGCCGCCTCCGCTCCCTCCGCCACCGACGCCGCCTCCGCCTCCACTGCTGCCACCGGTACCCCCACCCCCTCCACCACCCCCACCACCACCCCCACTCCCTCCGCCGCCTCCACCGCCGCCTCCACCGCCCCCGCCAGCTCCTCCAGCGCCTTTGCCCCCCTTGCCCTTGCCTGTGTGGCGCTTCTCCGAAGGGGCAGACGGAGCACCGACCGACTCAAAACCAACGAGGTCGGCCGCAGCAGCAGAGGCAACAAAGGGCAAGAGGGGGGAGGGAAAACACCCCTCAAAGACAGGGGTGCGGGGGTCACCACGAAAGGCTCCTACAGCGACTATGCTCTTCTCCGCCGCTAGGAGGGCCTTCTCGAGGAGGTCAACGGTGAGAGTGGTGGGGCACACTGCGAGGAAGTGGTCCCTGACTACGCGAAGGGAGTCAGGGAGTCGGGTGACTATGTAGTAGAGGGTGATGTACATGGGGGGGGTGTTCTTGGCGCAGAAGTCAGCAGGAAGCGCAGCGCGGTAGCGAGTGTCACTAGAGCGGAGGTGTGTAATGAGGTCTGCGACTGTGGGAAAGGCAGCAATATCAGGGAAGAGGTACGGTAGCATGAGACGGCTCAGTGCAGCAGTGGCAGGGGAGGAGTAGCGTGCAACTACAGCGTCGTACAAGGTCTGAGCACTCTTGTACTGACTAAAGTGCGCACGCTCCAAGGTAGGGAGGTGGCGACGCACAGCAAGACATGCAGCAGCATCGCGCGTGGCCCACTGGGAGCGAACAGTGGCGTCAGCATCAGCAGCAGGGGCAGGAGAGGCTCCAGAGGTGATGTCAAAGAGAGAGAGACCGTCTGCCCTATCGCACTATAAGAACAGCTGCAGGTCATCTACCCAGACGTCAAAGTCAATGGCTCGACCCTCAGCGTCAAAAGCGAGGACACTAGGGGTAGCCATGACCATAGTAGACTAGCAGTGCAACAGTAAGGGGAGGGCAGTGCAGTAAAAGAGGCACTGTGCTCACCGGACAGGGCAGCTCGCGCGGCTCGGGAGTAGGGCGGCTCGGCACCTTGGCGGCTCGGCTACTGGGCGGCTGGGCGGCTCGGCTGCAGTGCAGCTCGGCGGCCGGGCGGCTCGACTGTACGGCGGCTCGGCTGCTCGGCGGCTCGGCGGCAGGGCGGCTCGACTGCTCGGCTGCTGGGCGGCCCGGCGGCTCGGCTGTCCGGCTGCTCGGTTGCCTGGGCGGCTCGGCGGTGCTGCTGCAGGGCGGCGCGGCGGTCAGCTGCTCGGCTGGGTGGGGCGGGTCGGGCAGCCCGGGTGGCGGGCGGCGCTGCAGCGGGTGACGGGGCCGCAGATGAGAGCGGCGGGGCCGCAGGTGAGAGCGGCGGGGCCGCCGGTGAGAGCGGCCGGGCCGCGGACGAGAGCGGCGGGGCCGCAGGTGAGAGCGGCGGGGCCGCAGCAGAGGGCGCAGGGCCGCAGGCGAAAGCGGCGGAGCCGCAGATGAGAGCGGCGGGGCCGCAGCAGTTGAGGGCGGCGGGGCCGCAGTTGAGGGCGGCGGGACCGCAGTTGAGGGCGGCGGGGCCGCAGCAGAGGGCGGCGGGGCCGCAGATAAGGGCGGCAGGGGCCGCAGCAGTTGAGGGCGGCGGGGCCGCCGTTGAGGGCGGCGGGGCCGCAGTTGAGGGCGGCGGGCCGCAGGTGAGGGCGGCGAGGCCGTTTAACGGGACGGCGGGGCCGTGAGAAGGGCGGTGATGGGCCGCTACTAGAGCGGCGACGGGGCCGCTGGTGAAAGGGCGGCGCGACGCGGGCGTTAGGGCTGCGCGACGCGACCGTAAGGGCGGCGCGACGAGCCGCTAAGGGCGGCGCGACGGGCCGCTAAGGGCCACGCAACGGGCCGCTACGGGCGCCGCGATGGGCCGCTAAGGTGACGCGACGGGGCCGCTAAGAAGGGCGCGACCCTAGGCGCTCTTCGGGCAAGGGCAGGACGCGCCCCGGGCAGGAAAAAAAAAAGAGGGATCGGTGGGCCCTAGGAACAGTTCCCACGAGGGAACCTGCTCGATACCATGAGAAAGTGTGAACGAGAATGAATGAACTATGAATGAAGTGGGTACAAGTACTAACCCTTATTGGGTTGTACCCCTTATAGGATACCCCACTACAGCCTACACAAAAGCACAAGCTATAATGTTCTGACACGTTGTTCTAGCGGGTTATGGGCGCACTGACCCGCTACTTAACAAGCCCTTTTATCCCAATGGTCTAGTGGTTGGGATTCTGACATGGAAGAAGAGTGAAGGTCTCGTGTTCAAATCCCTGTGTATGCACTTCGGGCATCCCAGTGTGTGGGGTGTCAGAGGTCCACTGGTGATCCTCAATTGATCCTAGAGAAGGGCTACAGGTTCGTTGTCCTAAGCGGTTAAGGGCGAATTGACCCACTACTAAATAAGCCCTTTTTTCCCAATGGTCTACCGTAGTGGTTGGGATTCTGACAGACGTTAACCCAGACTCGTGAGAGTTCTCTCAAACAAGGTAGAGTAACCCTGCTGTAGTCGGGCTTTGCACAGAGCATTTCGCAACAATGACTCCCTTTCCTCTGCCATCTCTCACTCCAAGCCAAACCATGTTCAGTGTGCATGAGAGTGGGCCCAGCCCCTCAATCAGCAATCAGGTGCTGGCACAGAATGTCCACGCCAATCCACGCAAAGCTCAGAAACACAGGCGCCACGCTCAGCCCGAACCCGCGTGCCTCCTGCTGCACGCGCTGCAGCTCGGAGGGGTGGTAGCACACGTGGTACCACGCAAAGGCACGCGCCCGCACCGTTGCGTGGTCCAGCCGCGTTGGCTCTTCTGCAGCCTGTTGCACACAGCAGCACACACACCCACCACAACACAACTGTAACCAGCTTGCATGGCCTAACAGCACAACAGTGATTCTTTCACAATGCCAAGCATGTAGAGATCATGATGTAGGTGGATACAAGGCATGGCATGGCAAAGGCTCCATGGAGCACAGCAGCAACGAGCACACAATGGCCCCATCCCAGCGCTTACCTCGGCGCTGGGCTTGTGGGAGGTGGGAGCAGTGTCCGGCAGCATGGCCTTGATACCCTGCACCACGTTCACCTTGGACGTCACCCGCAGCCGCGGATCCTTCTGCTGCTGCCGCCGCTGCTGCTGCTGCTTGGTGCGAGGAGCAGGGGAAGAGGCATCAGTGCTGTTATTGTCATCGTCATCGTCGTCGTCTTCTCCCCGGCCGTTCTCTGCCCTGCACACGAGCAGGCGGTGGTAGTGGCGGCGCAGGTTGACGTACATGTTGCGCACGTGCTCGCGCACCGCATCGTCCTTGCGCCCGCTGTGCTGGGCTGCCTGCAGCATGCTGCCCGATGCCACCTCCGCCTCCGTCATGATGCCAAACTGCCCGGTCCATGGGTGGGGGGCACCCAGAGACACACACACATGAGTACACACATGGATAAGCACATGGCGTGCTGCAAGATTTACCAGAAGAGAAACACGGGCTATAGAGAAGGCTACCCGGCTTCCCCCTAGCGCCCACCTGGTGCCCACGTGGTGCCCACCTAGCGCGCACCTCCACCTAGCGCGCACCTGGTGCAGGATGTGCAGCATGGAGCGGTCATACGCCCACTTGAGTGCCCTCGCCTCCACCACGTGCTGCTCATACCCCTCTACACGCAGGTCCTCTCGGTACGCGCGCCCCACCTCCTCCACGCCCGGCCACCGCAGCCACGTGCGCCCATCCTCCAGCACCGCCACCTCGCCCTCCCACCCCATGCCCTCCCCCGCCCCCTCCCTTCCTTCCCTCCCCTCCCTCACCAGCCGCGCCGCCTCCTCCTCCCGCTCCCTCCGCTCCTGCGCCATCTCCTCCCTGCCCGTGCCCTCCTCCTCCGCCACAGCCGGCACCACGCGAGGCAGGTCATCATCCTCATGCACCACAGCAGTGTCCTTCACCTCGCGGTACAACCGCCCCAGTACCTTATCGGACTCATACGTCTCCTTACTGGCGCCCTTCTCCATGAAGTCGGGGTACTCCTGCACGCGCAGGTCGCGCGGCATCTGCCCCGCCACGCCCGTCTTGGGGAAGTCGAAGGCGATGGCGGCCTCGCGAGCCAGGCGCACGCACGCGGGGTCCGACGCCTGCTGGGGGCTGCGGTCCGCGTGCACGACGTGCGCGTTGCAGATGATGCCCACGCTGTCGTTCAGCATGTGGTCCACGAAGAAACGGTGCACGTCCTGCCATGCGTTGCGATGTGATGGGCACAGGCGTGGAGGGGAGAGGGGAAGGGCGAGTAGTTGGGTTACGTGTGGTTTTAGGAGGTGTCCACAACAGAAGAGCTGCTTAGAGAACCACAAGCAGGTCATTTGAAACAGGAACCGGAGGTACCTCACGAAGAGGATCTTGCAACTGCATCGGGTAGATCCATGAACAAGACTAAAGAGCGCGACAAAGTAGGTAGGAAGCCACAGTGCCGCACCTTCATGGTGACAGCGGCCTTGCCCTCCTTCTTCACCGGCTGATAATCCATCGGCTCTTCACTCCGCCCTGAGGGTGGCATGAGGCGCGCGTCCCACGTGACAAAGTACACGTCCCCGTCCATGTCACTGCCCGACGCCTCGTTGGCGTGCGGGCGCGGGCCCCTCTTGGGCAGCACGAGGCAGTCGACCAGGTGGTGCAGGCACGGCACGTCCACGGCTGTGAGCACGCGCAGGTCGCCCGGGTGCAGGCAGGGGTTCTTGCCGAAGATGATGGGGCATGTTATCACTTGCGGCGCGCCCAGCCCACGCCCCGTGCAGTGCACCGTGGGGGAGAGGATCGGGGCTTCAGAGGAAGAGGCGGCGGCGGCGGAGGAGGAGGTGGGGTTTGAGGGGGATATGGGCGCTGTGGTGTCACACACTCGGATGAAGCACTGCCCATACTGCGCGTACAGGGAGAAGAATGGAGGAAACATTCCGGTTGAAGCAGCATAGTGGAATGCCTTCAGCGAACTGGTGAAGTAGACGAGGGATAACGAGTCAGCATGCAGTCATAAATGCAGTTCTTGGTACTTTCATCTCTTGCACAGTCAGTCATTGTCAATGATACCTTTCCTACTTGCAGCACTTGCCTCATGGACATGAGACAACGGCAGGGAGAAACAATGCATGGTTATTGAAAAGACCGTTGAAGGTTGAGCGGAGACTGTTGAAAGGGAAGCCCAAGCCAGAAAGAGTGGTGCTTGGTTGAAAACATGACACACCCCTCCATCACAGCATGAACCTTCACATGCTCTCTGCTCTCCAGATTCTAAACCACCTCACCCCGCGCACCTCACCTCCAGCAGCCCTGTCTCGTCCACCACGCCCATGAGCCACCGGCCATCCTTCACGAATATGCGTGCCTTCGAAATCAGCCCCTGCAGCTGCAGCGACCTGCGCGGGCATGGGTGAGAGGTGCAGTTGCACAAAGAAGGGGTAATAGGCAGGGGAAACAAGAACTAAATTGCATAAAAATCATGTGTGGCATTGTGTGCAGACATCTGATGATAGTGGCTTCCATTCGGTAATAGGTCAGACGAAGAAAGGATGCATAAGCTGAAGAAGGATGCAATGGAAGAGTAGCATGCTGCACGTGCGCATCGGAGAAACTGCATGCAAAGCAATAGCACAGCACCACGCATTACCTTACGGCGCGCATCATGCGCTTGAGGTGCGGCTCGCGGTGGGGGTGGAAGCCAGCAGACAGCATGGTCATGGCGACGTTGTAAAGGTCGTCCGCACACAACTCCTCCAGCAGCTGCAGTGCTGCCTGCCGCTCACTCAACGCCCGGTCCAACTGCTGTAGCATGGCGTCCTGGGAGGGCGCAGAGCATGTGCGTGTGGCATGGATGGAGCAGTGCACATGGCAGGAGCATGCAAGGGGGGGCATGGAGTGGAGGATTGAAGTGAGCTGGGCAAGATCCATAGCAGGGCGAAGCCGTGCGTTGCTGTGGAGAGAGCAGACACAAGGAGCACGATCAACCTGCATGCTGCTGCCGCATGAGGTGTGGATACAGGCTCAGATGGGCAATGGACCATGTGGGAAAACGGGAATGGAAGAGGGGCTTACAGGAAGGTCCAGCAATAGCGCACACAGCAACAGATGGTACAGGAGGGGCTTGTGATCAGAAATTAGCAGGGGAATGGGTGCACACAGCACGGAGCAGGCGCGCACTGACCTGCATGTGCAGAAAGACGTGATCTTGCACTCCCATGGTAGCCAGCAGTGTGATGATCTGGCGGTTGAGGAAACACGGCAGGGGACGCGTCCAATTCACCACCTCCACATCTGCATGCTGCGACTCAAACTTGTCCATGCTTGGCCGTATCCACATGTGCGTCACTGCTGCTGCTGCTGCACTCCCTTGAGTCTCTGCAGCCATCCCTGGGCGGGCATCATTCACTGCAGCAGCTTCCGCATGTGTGTCACCGCTGCCCTCCCCTGCATGCATCCATGAGTCAGTCGCGTAATCCCCTTCACGGAACATCAGATTCACCACCTGCCGCTGTTGCACGCCACTTGTGCTGCCGTTGCTGCCGTTACCGCCCACGTGCCTGTGCAGCTCTGCCTCGTGCTCCACTTGCCGCATGACCCAGCGCGGCCACACTGTGATGACCCCCTTCACCCCCGCATACCGGATCTGAAACGCCGATGGTGCGCGCAGCAATGCCCTCCCCTGCTCCACCGCACTTCCCTTCTTCCCTTTTGTCCCACTGCTGCCAGCCCCACTCCCACTCTCGTTCTCATTTGCACCCCCACTATCCTTCGTGTTCCCACTACCACTCTCCTTCTCACTCCCATTCTCCTTCACACTCCCACTCCCACTGTCCTTCTCATTCCCGCTCCTATTCTCCTTCGCACTCCCACTCCCACTGTCCTTCTCGTTCTCACTCCCACTCTCCATCTTGTTCCCACTCCCACTCTCTTTCTCATTCCCCGTCCCACCCTCCTTCGCATTCCCACTCCCACTCTCCTCATTCCCACTCCCACTCTCCTCATTCCCACTCCCACTCTCCTCATTCCCACTCCCACTCTCCTCATTCCCACTCCCACTCTCCTCATTCCCACTCCCACTCTCCTCATTCCCACTCCCACTCTCCTTCGCACTTCCACTCCCAGTCTCCTTCTCATTCCCATTCCCACTCTCCTCATTCCCACTACCACCCTCCTTCTTATCCCCACTACCAACGTCCTTCTTATCCCCACTACCACCCTCCTTCTTATCCCCACTACCACCCTCCTTCTTATCCCCACTACCACCCTCCTCCTTATCCCCACTACCACCCTCCTTCTTATCCCCACTACCACCCTCCTTATCCCCACTACCACCCTCCTTCTTATCCCCACTACCACCCTCCGCAGCACCACCCCGGGCACCACCTCCACTGCTTCCCCCACTCTCACCACCACTCGCATCACCCTCCCCATCACACACCCCAGAGTCATCCTCGCTCCACCCGTGACCCACGGGCCTGTCAAGGTAAGGAGCAATGGCGTCTGCCAGGGCCTTGCCCACCTCTGGTGACACGGCACCCACGCCATCCGTGAAGCAGAAGCTGCCACGTGTGACGTCGGGCAGCTTGCGCACGTGGGCGCGCGGGAGGGGGAGAGAAGTGAAGCGCGAGGAGAAGCACTGCCCCATGCGGGCGGCGCACTTGGCCACGTTGCGGATGGCTGAGAAGGTTCCCATCCACGCCTGGTGTTGCTCCCATCACCCCCTCCCCCTCCCCAACCCCCCTCATTCAAGTTGGCCGCAGAAACCCACACGCACCAGCATCCAGCAGATCACACCCACCCCACACGCAGAGAGAAGGCAGGCGGTGAGGGAGATTTCAGAGAGAGTGGTGCGTTGCGGTTGTGGTGGCAATGGAAGCAGGACAAGGCAAGGAGCGAGCACTGAAAAAAGCAGTAACGCCAGAGCATGGCTGGAATGGCATTTGCCACTGCCCCCACCACCCTCTTCCCTGATCGGCCCTACAGTAACGCCAGAGCATGCCCTGACCCTGTTCACACCAACCCAGTCCCCAGGGCCACCTGCGTGCATCTGCCCTTCCCTGTGTGTGCAGGCCAAGAGAGCACCCACCTGCACGGAGGCAACGGAGAGGCCAAGCTTGTTATCCTCGGCCAGGAACCACGCTGACTTCTCCCTCAGCTGCGATGCTGATGACGCCAGGAAGCAGTAGTGCCGCCCACACAGGCTGAAGCCCTGGTGTAGACGCCACGTCAGAGGAGCAGGTGGGTTGGGGTGGAAGAGGGGGAGAAAGAGGGATGGAGGGAAGCTAATGTAGGTCAGAAACAGTGAATGGCCAGGGAAACCCTGGCTGGCGTGAGGGCAACGGGGTTGAAAACGGAGGGAAGTTACACATGGGGAAGGGTAGGAAGGGGCGCAGCACACATGCATGAACCCATGAGCCCTGCGCTCCTCTCCGTGCAGCACGCACCATGAACCCTGCACCCATGCGCACCAGACCCACGTCACCATGGCCAAACCAACCCATACCTCCCTGCCTCCTCACACACACACACCAAACAAGCGGCAACCAGGGCAGCACATGCGCCTCACATCTTCCACGAGGCAGAGAATGCGGCGGTACACATCGGTGTGGCCGGCACCGCCCTCGCGCCTACCAGCGGCGTCCATGAGGGCGAAGGAGGGCAGGTTCTCCAGGCCCTCGTCCGTGAAGGTGACGCGCAGGAAGCGGTGCGCGTGGGCGCGGTAGTGCGTGAGCACGCGGTTGGTCAGCTCCACGCCCGGCATGCAGCACTGCGCGCCCAGCGGTGTGATGAGCACCCGGAACACCAGCACGTGGTTCGCTGGCAGCTTCCATGGCCACGTGCTGCTCTCCCCCTCACTCAATTCCCCTGCCTTCTCCTCTCTTGCTTGCTGTTCTTGCTGCGGCTGCTCGGGCTTTCCCACACCTGGCCCCTTCTGCTCCTCTCCCTTCTCCCTCTGCTGCTCCCCCGTCCCCTCTGGTCCCGTCTCTCGCCCCTTGTCAGTGCCCTCCCGTGCCTGCAGCTTGCCGTGGTGCCGCATGGCCCGGGCGATCTGCCGGAACTTCCGGGAGGGGTGGAACTCGGGGCGGGAGAAGCGGAAGAACTCGATCAGCACCGCCACGGCAGCGAGCACGGGCTCATAAGCCAGAGTGCGGTACAGGGAGGCAGTCACAGCTGTGGGGGGGATGGTGCCCTGCTGCACCAGAGCTGTGAGCAAGTACAACACTGGGAAGGCGAGCACAACAGGCACCGCAGTCCTGCTGCTGCCGCTGCCGCTGCTGCCGCCGCCGCTGCTGGCAGTTTTGGTGTTGGTGCTGTCAGGTGGGGTGGTGGTGGTGGTAATGGGGAGACATGAGGGGTCGAGGGAGATGAAGGGGGCGAGGTGGATGGGCAGGGCAGCAGCATAGCGGGCGGTGATGGCCACGCGCTGTGGGTCGCCCAGGTAGCGTGCCCTGAGGTGCAGTGATGCGGTGCGCATGTGCGCTGCTATGCGCCGCACATGGCTGCCCCGCCGCACCGGCACCGACACCTGCATCACTGACGCCGCCCCCAACACCCCTCCACTCCACACCCGCCCCTTCCACCCACTCCCACTCACACCACCGCTTCCACTGCTACCAGCCCCGCCGTCCCACCGCCCCGCACCAGCACTCCCCCCTCCTCCATCATCCCCCACGCCTGCATACGCGTCTGCTGCTACGCTTGCACCGGCGCCCACCCTTCCCCCCGCGGGCAAGAAGTTTTCATCGGTGGTGCGGGTCCATGGGTCGCCGACATCAGGGAACCAGCTGTCGGGCTCCAGCTGCCACACGTCGTCGTCACACGCCCGCGAGAACACGGCGGGCGGCACGAAGAGCAGAAGCAGCAGCGAGGAGGTGAGGCCGGGCCCATCCATGCCGCGTGTCGTGCTGTCCTTGCTGCCCCACAGCCGCACGTCCCGCATGCGCCACTCTAACTTGTACTCTACTCGCTGGAACGCCAGCGGGATGGATGAGAGACACGCACCAGCAGCAGTAGCAGGGAACGATGCACCTGCATCCTCCCTTGCACCCGCCTCTCCTCCTGCCGCCCGCCTTTCCCACCCCGCACCACCCCTCCCGCGCTCGCCCGCCCTCTCCTGCACCACGACCCGCACACGCCTCTCCAAAAAGTCAAACTCGACCCGGCAGCTCTCGGGCTTGGAGCGCCATGTCAGCGCGAGCTGGCCGGGCTGGTGGACAAACCCGAGGTGCACGGTGGAGTGGAATAGCAGCCCCTCGGGTGCTCTCCTCTGCTCTATGGTGCGCTGCAGCCCCAGCTGCTGCCCCTTGAGCACCAGCGCCTCCTCCCTCGCCATCACAAACTCCGCCACCTCTGCTGTCAGGAAATCCGCGTATCCATACCCTGCTGACACCCACTCCTCACGGTACCGCGTCCCCCCCACCACTGCTCCCTCCCCTGCGCCTGCTGCTGCCCCTGCTGCGCCTGCTGCTGCACCTCCGGCGACCCCTGCGCCTGCTGCTGTGGCTCTGCCAGCGGGCAGGGCGCGGATGCGCGTGTACCCCTTGATCTTCACGCGGTCCACGGTCACGTGCAGTGTGTCGCGCACGAACGCTGCCACGGTCTCCGCGGACGTGTCCAGTGGAATGCGGTCTATGCGGATCTGAGCTGACGGCCTGCGACTGCTGGGCCTCTGACCGCCGCCCCTGCCGCTGCTGCCTCTGTTGCTAACCCCGCTGCTACCAGCAGCTCTGCTGTTACTGTTACTGCCACTGTCGGTGGTAGTTCCAGTGGTGTCGGAGGGTAGATGGGCGGCGGCAGCAGCAGAAGCAGCAGCAATGGACGAGCCAGCGTCACTCTCCACTCCCTCCCCTCCATCATACCCAGCGCCACCATGCACAGCAACGGGCCCAGGGGAGCGCAGCGCAGCAGGCCAGCCCATGGCGTGCACATCAGCAGCGAACGCCGCAGCAGCAGCGGGGCCGATGAGAGACACGAGAGCGGCGTCCAGGTGACTAAGGTGCGCGCTGCTGGCCCCACCGCCACCGCCACCACGCATGCTGCTCGTCACACCACTGCCCGTGCTCGTGCTAACAGTGCTGCTGCCCCGCGGGAGAATCATGGCGCCCGCATGCGGCCCCCCCGCGCCCTCCACACTCGCGCTGCTCTCGCTCCCTCCCCGCCACCTCCCGCTGCCGCCCTCCCCACCGCCGCCTTGCGCTCGGGGATCCGTCCGCGCGTCACTATTGCGCCAATCCGCGCCTTCCCGCGCATCCCACCGGCGCGCGGAGAATTCTTCCCGCGCTGCCAAGCCTCCGCCTGCTTGCGCGCTCCAGTTCCGCTGAGCCCGCCATAAATCATGCCCGTCTGCACGCCCGCTCGCATGTCTGGGGTCATGCATATACTCATGGCTATTCGCGTGCCTATGCGCATGCCTGTACTCATGCCTAGGCTCGTGCCCCCGCCCTTGCCGCTCTCGCGGCGCAAGCGGCTCCGCGGGGTCACGCCAGTGGGCGCGGCTGCTGGGCTCGCGGGGAGGGGCGAAGCTGGTATTTGCGCCAGCGGGACCTGCAGCGGCGGGCGCCGCGCGTCGGGAGGGAAACGCGCGGTCCACGCTCGCCGTGGCCGCCGCAGCTGCGGCAGCGGCGGCAGCGGCGACGGAAGAGACAGAGGATAGGTGGGAAGAGTGCGCGAAGGGGAAGGAGCGCTCGGGTTCTGCTGACATGGTCCCGACGGGTGCACGCGCGCAGTCACAGACAGGCGACGAAGAGGAGTAAGGGAGACACACAAGGGAGGAGAGGAGGCGAGGAGCAAGGAGTAGGTATTTTGGAGAAGGTATTTTGGTCCTACCAACTGCTGCTCTTCAGAGACGGGAAGGCAAAATTGCTGCTTTCGCAGCACACGAATTAGTGGGCGAAGTATTTCATCCTCGCTTGGTTGTCCTAGGTACGTTTTTTATGGGGTAGAGTAAATAAAGGCACTGTTCTACAGGCGTTACATTTCCAAAAAGTGGGTCCGCATACACCTGATGCTCGCTAGAGCCCCTCCCGGTTGCCTTGTGAACTGGGTCTGTAAGCTAAACCTGCATTTCGCGGGGCATTAGTGAATTTCGTCAGGCGTCCAGCGTGCTTCAAAACTGCACATGGTAACCACCCAATTTGTCTGATTCGCAACAGTAAGGGGTTGCAGCACTTGTCCCTGCTGTGTGTTTAGGGTTACTAAACGAACGCTACAGTGCCGAAACAAGCATGCACAACAATTGTTCTTCGTAGTACAAAACAGTCAAAACACAAACACCTTCCAATCAACATCCTCCACCTGGCCCCTTATCTCCATTCAACACACAAAACGAAACACGCACAAATGGGCACAAGGAGTGAACACTTGGGCTCTCAGCAAAATGCCTTCGACACCTTGCGAAGTCTGCTCCACCCCCACCCCCTCACAGACGCATCCACTCAGCCGCGTCCACATACCCGTCCATCACGGCGCCCACACCGGCGTCAAGCAGCTCCTGACGGCGACACGGACGGGTCATCAAGCCGAGAAGCACACGGCCGCGCGGACGAGGGGTCTCGGGCGTGGGAGTTGCGCCCGGAGAGGGTACTGGCTTAGGCGCCACGTTGAGGTTGAACGACGGGCTCACCCGCTCCATCCGCGCGATTATGATGGGGTTGCGGATATCGAACAGATGGCACAAATCGCGCGGCGTGATGCGGGTGGCCCGTGCATATCCGATGAGCATCTCGCATGCCGCCCGCGCAGTGCGCCGCGCTTCGCGGCACACGGGGTTGGCGTCGTCGTAGACGTCTTGCATGGTCGTCGGCGCCTGCCAGAGCTCCACCTCCAGGCCCGCCTCCGGCTCAGTCGTGGGCTGTCCCGCAGCGCCCTCGGCGCACGTTGGCTCTGTGAAGAATGAGAACGAGAATGATGAGACTATGAACGAAGTGAGTACAAATAGGAAACCCTAATTGGGTTGTACCCCCTATGGGATACCCCACTATAGCCTACACAAATAAGTAAGCTATGATGTTCTGACACACCCCCATAGGCAAAGTGGGGGAGAACAAGGGGTCACAAGACCAGTCAAGCAAAGCAAAGCAAAGCTCAGGGTGGATCACAAAGTCACCACACATTCCGAGCACAAGTTCAAGGCCAGAAGGCCAGTTCACATGCAGGAGCACATATATAAATATACAAGAGTCTAAGCAAGCAAGAGCAAGAGTATATATATGTGAAAGTACAAGCAAGGTCAAGAAGTGAGCAAGTGAGGCAAGATAGGCTCAAGACCCAGCTGCGTGCAGAGGCGCTGATGATCACAAGGCACAAGTGCCTTGGTGAAGACATCAGCAGTGTTGGCCTCAGAGGCCACGTACGCAAGCCGCAACTGTCCACGCTGCTGAAGCTCAAGAGCAAGAAAGTAACGGAGAGCAATGTGCTTTGTCCTGTGCTCCAGTCGCTGCTCTCGACACAAGGCCAGCATGGCCTTGTTGTCTACGTACAGGACTGGAGGAGAACGAGGCGGCTCTTCAAGGTCGGTCAGCAGGTAGGTGAGCCAGCGTAACTCCTGTGCAGCCATGGCCCCGGCGTAGATCTCAGCCTCACAGCTGGAGCCGAGAACAGAGGACGAGCGGGTAGCCCGCCACGAAACAGAGCCGGAACCAAGGCTGAAGGTGTAACCCTGTGACGACCGCTGCGTAGCCTGGTCGTCAGCCCAAGAAGCGTCCGCATGCCCAGTGAGGACCACTGGACTCCGCCCTCCAAGCACTAGCCCCATGCCCGACGTACTGCACAAGTAGCGCAACACCCTCTTCGCTGCAGCCATGTGCTTTGGTCGGTGTCTCCCAGGAGCAACATAGCGTGCGAGAATGCTAAGAGGGTATGCAAGGTCAGGTCGTGTGCAGGTCATCAAGTACATGAGGCAGCCAACAAGCTCTGGATACGGGCCACGAACCTCTACGGACTCATCCGAAGGCAGAGCTGAGAGCGAGTGGCGAGTAGGCAGAGGAGTGGCCTGAGGCGAGGAGTACGTGAAGCCGAAGCGCTGAAGGACCTGCTGCACCATGTGTGACTGAGTCAGGGTAATAGTGCGGCGTGCTCTGTCCCGGGTGATCTGCAAGCCAAGGTAGCTGCGCAGTTCACCCAGGTCAGTACACGTGTGTCTCTTCTGCAGCTCGGACTTCACGTAGGCGAGTCCAGCAGTGTCAGCTGTGGCAAAGACCAAGTCGTCGACGTACACGAGGATGTAGAACGGCGGCAGAGAGGTGTCGGTGCGCAGAAACAGCGACGGGTCTGCAGTGGAAGGAGCAAACCCAAGTGCCGCCAGCGTAGTCCTCAGTGTGTCGTGCCACTCACGCGGCGCCTGGCGGAGACTGTAGACTGGACGCCGGAGACTCCACTGGGTACCAGGAGGGAAAGGCCCAGTGAAGCCAGGTGGGCGGCGCAGCCAGATCTCCTCGTGCAGGCTGCCCTGCAAGAAAGCAGTGCTGAAGTCGAGAGAGTGCAGCTCGTAGTCACGGTGAGCAGCAACGTGCAGCAGTACCCGAAGAGTGGTCATCTTTGGGGTGGGGGAGAAGGTCTGAAATTAGTCAGCTCCGTGCCGCTGACTGAAGCCACGAGCCACGTAACGCGCCTTGAAGACAGGCGGAGAACCCGGCGGCCGCTTCACACTGAAGATCCACATGCCACTGACGATGTTCGCCCCAGGAGGGGGGACAGCGTCAACGTAGGTGCCTGTGGACTTCCAGGAAGCCATCTCTGCATCCATAGCTGCCTGCCACTGAGAGGAGTAGGGACCCTCTATCGCCTCCGCGTAAGAGCGCGGAGTCGGGATGTCAAGTGCATCCGGGTCTCCCTCAGGGGTGAGCAGTACGGACACGAGATGAGGTGAAGCGGCGGTCAGACACTGGAACTCCTCCTGCCTGTCCTCAAGGACGTCCGTGCCAAGGACACACTCACCCCCGACGGACGGAGGACAAGCAGACTCAGACTCGGCGACAAGATTAGTAGCGTAGTCTAGACGACAGCGAGCAGCAAAGTCGACGAGCTCAGTAACAAGGGCAGACGCAGCAGTAGACTCGAAAGAAGGGTCAGTGACGGCAGTAGCAAGGAGACGCGTGACAGTAGGACTGGCAGCACGAAGAGAGTCCGACTCCGGGTCGGCAAGAGCAGGAAGAGAGGAAGCAGGAGGAGAAGGCAAAGGGGCACGCAGAGGAGCAGTAGACGGACGCAGAGACATCCGGTGCGTGCCAGGGACAGGAGGAGGACGCTGACGCGAACCGCGACCACTAGTGCGTGCAGCACGAAAAGGCGACGCAGGACGAGACGCAGGCTCACGACGCTCAGTAAGACCTCCAGTCGGACCAGCGTAGGGAGAAGGAGCAGGCAAAGGGGAGGCAGGCTGTAGCTGTGACCGTGACTGGACAGGCTGTGGACCCTCTAAGGTAGAAAGAGGAGGACCAGGAGAAGGTGTAAGACCAAGAACCTGCTGCAGGAGGGGAACGAAGTACGGTCGGGGCCGCGTGGCGACGCCAGAAACAGCAGGGACAGCACTAGTACCCCCAGCAGGAGTACCCGCTCCAGCAGCACCTCCAGTAGGACCTCCAGCAGCTCCAGAACCCCCCGCAGCACCTCCAGCAGCCCCAGAACCTCCAGCAGCACCAGGAGCACCGCCAGTCGGACCGCCAGTGGTAGTCTCAGCGCCAACACCCTCAGCAGCACCAGCTCCAGTCGAACCCGCAGGCTCAGCAGCTCCAGTACTCCCAGTACGAGCACCTCCGGAACCCGCGGCAGCAGCACCCTCAGCAGCCGAAGAACCTCCAGCACCAGAAGCACGCCTCCAGCGCCGGGCAAACCACTCACGCAGCTCTTGTGGGGAGAGTGGCTCTCGGCGAGACGAAGCACCCGGAGAACCTCCAGGCTCAGCACCCCCAGGCAAAGCACCTCCAAGCGTAGCACCTCCAGTCTCAGCACCCCCAGGCTCAGCACCCCCAGACTCAGCACCCCCAGGCTCAGCACCCTGTCAAAACCTATATTTGTAACTGCCTGTAGCTGTAGTTAGTGTAGTTATTTAAATCTGTAGGTGGTGCACCTCTCCACTTGTTTCCTTTGCTATATGTACTTCGAAATCTATAGTGAAATCATTCTTCACAATTTTCTCTTCTCAACTCACTCGAACTTCTCCCTAGGCACAAAACCCGCTCGACACCTAATCTCGGGCCTAAGCTCCTAAGCCTAGGCCCTAGTTTCAACTTAACTCTACATCCTCGTTCACTTTTTCACACACCCCCAGGCTCAGCACCCCCAGGCTCAGCACCCCCAGGCTCAGCACCCCCAGCAGCACCAGAGTCACCAGTGACCTCGACAGGCTCGACTGCGTCTACCTGGGACACACCTGAAGGGGCAGGACCCTGAGGGGGAAGGGGGTCTACCGGGGGGGGACCTGGTACCAAGAAGAGCGGGGGTGGGGGGAGGGACGGAGTGCGGTAGGGGAAGAGGCGGTAGTAGGGTACCGACTCGTCGAACGTGACGTCCTGGGAGGACAGAACACGGCGAGAGGTTGGGTGGTAGAACTGCCACCCAGGGGCGTCGGGGGGGAACCCCAGGAAGACGCAGGGAGCAGCGCGAGGGGATAGCTTGTCCGCAGACAATTCGCGGACAAACGCCCGAGATCCCCAGACCCGGAACGCCGACGCATCGCCAACCTTCCCCGTCCACAGCAGGGCTGGAGAGGTCTCCGGCCAGGAGACCCTAGGGTGAGGGTTGATCTGATGCGCCGCGTACCTGACCGCAAACGGCCACAGAAAATAGGGGGCAGCCGCATGCATCATAGACGTACGAGCGACGTCCATGACCATGCCAATGCGGCGCTCTGCAATCCCATTTTGCTGCGGTGAGTCCGGAAGCGTGAAGGTCAGACGGATGCCTCGCGCACGACAGTAGGCACGCAGAAGGCCAGAGGAGAACTGTCCGCCTCTGTCCGAGTGCAGACGCAACACAGGAAAGTCCGAGCCAAAGCTCTGCCTGAGCTGGAGACGAGCTGCGCGGATCCAGTCGATCAGCACCTCAGTGACATCACCCTTGCTGCGCAAGGGGAAGACTGTGGTGTAACGCGAGTAGTCGTCAACCACCAACAGGAAGTAGCACTCGTGACCGAGTCCACGGACGCGGGCAGGGCCCCACACGTCCATGTGAAGCGTCTGCAACGGAGCCTCTGTCGGAGGAAACTGGGAGGAGTGAGGGGCAGCACGCTGGCGCCCCTCGACACAGGGGACACAGGCAGGGCCAGGGCCCTGAGGAAGGGGAGGGAGGGACCGGGGGAGACCAGACACAAGAAGACGGGAGGCCATGCCTCTGAGCCGAAGCAGAGAGGGGTGACCCAGGCGGTGGTGCCAGAGGAGAGTCTCGTGAGACAGGCGACGACACGAACAGGGGGCAGACTCAGGACCAGACCTGGACGCTGCAGCAAACACCTGACCAGATGAAGGGACCCTACCAGACTCAGCAACTGGAGGAGAAGCAGTGGTCAGTGTGTACAGGCTCGATCCTGGTTGACGTGTAAACGTAGCCAGGTGGCGACCTGTGCTAGCCTCTGTGCAGTGCGTCACTCGCTGACGAGCAGGAGTGAACTGGTGGACTCCCGCATCCTATAGGTCAGCACCACTCACCAGGTTCGTAGAGAACGAGGGGAGGTAGAGACCAGACAGGGTGCCAGAGGGAGCCGCCGGACACGGGAGGACTGTGGAGAAGTGAGACAGGACAGGACCCCCAGAGGGGTCAGCCAGGGACACCGCAACCGGCCGACTAAGCGGCGTGAGT